ATGACAAACATGCTGGCCCAGACTTACCTTCACTCTACGTGGGACAGAAAGTCCGTATTCTTGACCAGCCGAACAAGTCTTGGACTCCGGGTGAAGTAACCAAAGTTTGCAAAGAGCCTAGGTCGTATGAGGTCAGAACACCAAATGGATCTACTCTCAGGCGCAATCGATCACATTTGCGTGAAATGCAACCTCAGCCGCGCGAGGCGCACAGGCAAACAAAGCAAGCTAAGTGCGTTCATTTTGATGAACAATCCCCGCGAGTTCTATTCCCACCGAGACAAGGTTCTGACCAGAACAAGCAAAACAGAGAAGCACAGCGGGATGGAAAACCCACTGACGGGGAAAAATCTCGCCAAACCAAAGCTAAACCTAAGGCTACCGGTACCTTTCTCCAAACCCCACAGACTACAAGATCTGGTCGTGTAACCAAAATGCCAGCCAGATACCTCTAAAACCAAGTTCTTAGTTACTCCAGTGTTGAAAGTTAACAGACTCGAACAAGGGTTTCATAGAGTTAGTGTTTATAACAAGTGTTTCAAGTGTTTTGTTGTTTACAAAACAAAAAAAACAAAACAAAAAGTTTATAGTTTTCTTGTTGTCTAAGTGGACAGTCACAATACAATTTAAAATAGATATGTTTTGACTACTAGAAATAAGGAAACCACGTTTGAACATTATTATACATCTCCGCATTCTTTATGCCAGCATATATCTACCTTACCAGGAGATAGTCGACTGTGAAAGGACTGAACGATAATACAACTTGAGTATTAAACTACCTTATTTTTGTTTATATATTTCAAAAAGGGGGGGGGATGTAGTGATATGCATATTCATGTATCCATGTATGCGCATGCGCGCCGGGGAGTTGACCCCAGATAAGTTCTAGAATAAATCTTCCATGCTGGCCGTGCTGTCCACACACTCGCCGTCTTACGAGCCTCCTTTATTTCACCTCCATCTCAACATGGTGGCAGCGGTGAAAAAGAACCAGATAGACATCTGTGATGATCTGACCATCGAGTGAGGCAACTTTCGGGCATCTGGACCTCCCAATTCCCGCTTATTGTGGTGTGAAAATGTGCAACCGCCCCAGATTTGTCTGAGGTCATGCCGCGACGTTTCACGTGCGTGTGCTATACCCACTGCACATTCAACACGTTTCACCGTACAGTGTGAGCGCCTATACCGTGCTCGCCCCATCACTGCACTCAGGAGCTCGCCATAATCGCTGTATTCCCCACGGCTCCATCGAGCTCTACCGGAGACTGGTCATCTACCGACCGGCTTTACAGCATCCAGCGGCGACGGTCCCGACTGTTTCAAGGGACAAGACGGGATGAAAAGCAGCAGAAACCTGGACCTCATCATCGGCTAATTTTGCAAATTCTGCCGTGCGTCCAGTTTGCCGACCGACACGATCACGATCAGCGCCCATCCAGTTGCGCTGCATCCAATTCGTGAGAAATTCAGCTCGTCGTTTTCCAGTAACTGTACCTGCCCGACCTGTTCACAGTACCAGTGCATCTCCAATCTGGGACCTCCAGCATCTTGCCAGGCAACTTCATCTGCCCTACTACCTGACTACTACCCTGACTATCACGGACACTGTACCAGGCAAGACGTACAAGAACTGTTCAGCCACTTCATCTCATCAGAACTGAGACTTTTAAAGCCTAATTGACCAGTGTTCATTGCTATTGTTTACATGTATGAGTTTGGTTATTGACAATTCAAATCAGTGTATTGTTGCTCCCATGTAATATTGTTCTTACATGTTTAGCCATCTCAGTGGTGTTTAGCCCAAGTTTTAGCACAGAAGGTTTCGCACAATTGTTGTTTATCATATTATTATATTACATTGTCATTGTGCACTCAACCATGGCTAAATATCCAGAAATGAATCTCAACAGGGTCTTGCCTAATTAATCAGTGAATCTGTTCACGCATAATAGACCACGGCAAATACATAGACTAATGGATAATGTGCCAAAAGTGAAAAGAAAAAGAACAGGAAAAAAAAGGTGCACGTTTTATGGGTGAAAGAGAAAGAACAATATTGCCACAGGACAATATTGCCATGCAGGGGCTGCATCGCTCTGAAGGCAGGGATGGCTGGTGTTAGGAAGGCCTGTGCGGATGGGGCTAGGATGTGTAGAACGGCAGATGGTGGTAGGCTGGTAGCCTGTTCAAAACTGAAAAATTCCTTGGAAAAAAGGCGTATTTGACGCATTGATAGTTGGTATGATTAGAGAGGTGTACTTAAGTGGATGATCCATACATTCTGAAATATGTGTGGCATGCTGGACGCACTGTGGGAATAAATACTAACTAGGTTGTGGTGGATTTCATAGTACGGAGTGCACTGTTGAAACAAGCGACGGGTGTGAAGTAGATCCCAGTTGAGTTCTTCTATGAGTGGTGAGATGTGAGTTGTTGTTCAATAATCAGAAAAGACAAATCTGGCAGCATTGTTTTTGATCTGCTCAATGTGGTTTGTGTCAGTAACTGTGTTGGGATTCCAAACTTTACACGAGTACTCGATTTGTGGAAGAACCAATGTTATAGGGTCTTGCCTTAACCTGTAGTGAGCAGGACAATAAAGTTCTTGTTATGAAGTGTACGGCTTGTGTTATGTATAATTTTGGAACAATGGTCTTTCCATCTTAAGGCGTGTAAAATTGTAACACCCAGGTAGTCATGTTTTTTGGACACAGGTTAATTTCTCACCCAGGAGAGTGTACTGGTATATCTTTGGGCTCATTTGTGAGTGATGTTAAATGCTGCACAATTTTTTATATTTAATTTTTTAATCACTTATTTGATCACTCTTCAAGGGTATTCCGGTCATCCTGCAGAATCTGTTGATCATCTGCTGTCTTTTTCTCCCTGTACACAATACTGTCATCTGCAAAGAGTTTGATATTTAATTGAATGTGTTCATTTACATGTATGTCATTAATATATAAGAAAAATAGCATGGGCCCTAAGACTGATCCTTGGGGACACCTGAAGTAACGTCAGTCCATGAAGAGTGTGTTGACAGAAACGGCTTGTTTACGATGTGAAAGAAAACCAATGATCCAGCTTAGATACCAGTACGTGTTGTGTGAGATGCCATAGTACTGCAACTTCTCTGCAAAAAGCTGATGGGAGACTTTGTCAAAGGCCGTACTAAAATCAATGAGTGTGACATCAGTTTGACTTTTACGATTGAGTTTTTCAGACCTGTTGTTTGTTGAATTTACCAGTTGTGTAGCAGTTGGGCACTCTTCGTAATTCTAATCATTTACCAAACAAGGGGCCATTCAAAATTTTCGATGTTATTAAATTTCAATTTTTTTTCTCGAAAATGTAGGTGGGCGGGTCAAATTAATTTATTGAAATTTTAGTTAATTGAAATTAACTTTTTTCAATTAAAAGGATAGAAAATAGCTCTTTTGACTTGCCAATTCAACTCCTGCATGCGTTCCGATTTGTAAACTCTTTGCCCGTACCGTACGGGTACAGTACGCATCTGGTACATGTACCGGTACAATGTACCGTATCATGTGTATACGTCCATCGGAGTACCATATGCATGGGGACCAGTTAGACTTGAAGCATGAGTAAAATCAGTGTGCCGTGCAAATGGAGCGGGATACCAGGTTCATTTTGTCTTAATACATGACACGAGTGTCGGTTACGAATCGCGACAATGAAATAAACCTACTTATGTTCAGGACTATACTTAGGCAACCTTGCATGTATGTGCATGGAATACCTGCATGCAATGAACGTGGCAGCGCCCTAACGTCTGAGAAGTGCAAGTTGAAATTTCAAATTTGTTTATATCAATAACGACTGAAATTTCTAAATAAACTTCATGAATAATGGTAGTTATTACACCTCTTTACGCCAAGACAAAAGTTAGGTTTTTTTAGAGCGAGCTGATATTTATTATAACCGTTGAGAATGGACTACTTTTACGTGTTTCCAGGTTGATTCCCTATATGTACGGGAATGGCAGTGGGCCGTGTTGTTGCAAAGGTACTGTATACGGACTGCAGCTGCATTCCGCCGTCACCGAACTAGACATTCGTTATGTTTTTTTACTGAATGGAAAATCAATATTTTAAGATCAAAATTAGGGTGGGTGGGTGGGTCAAAACAGTTTTGAAAAAAAAAATTCGAAATTTAAAAACATTGAAAATTTTGAATGGCCCCTAAGTTAAATCCGTTTTGTGATAGGCAATAGTATTAGTATAAACCTGTTTAGGCAATTATTTAGACGTCACTTAAGCCTACCTACGTGATATTTGAATAAAGAATGACTCCATTTAGATACCACACTGCCAGATTGTTGAATGTCACACTGTAGGATCAGCAGACTCCAGGGTCTATCCCCTTCCCCTGTGTCCCTCATACAACCCTTAGTTTCATGTTGAGTACAACCCTGGCTATGTAAGAAAGTAGCTGCGACTGCCTGGCAGTAGACTGGCCCAAAATGGACCTGTTCCCCATGGCCATTTCTACAGCCGCTCATTGGGTCAGCCGAGGGCAAGCCTAGGCAACGTTGACAAGACCGTCACATTTTTTTATTCACATGAATGGTACAATAAAAATGGTCATGCGTATTTCTTACAAATAAAAACCTGGATCAGATTAAGATAAGGAGTTGAATAAGTCCATGAATGGACAAACAAAATCAATAACTAAATGTTAACTACTAGTTCATAGTTGTATACATCACACACTTCACAAACAAATGGGGAAATATATACCGGGATCAAATAACTTACTCATGTAACATTGAAATACTATTCATTTGTCATCATTCTTTAATTTGTATTGAATAGCTTAGTGCTTTTACTGACAAACACATGGGGTTGTCTCATAAGTACTTTTATATTATATTACTGTTTTTGAGCTAAAAATACTGGTTCATAGCATGCTATTTACAAATTTGTTACATCTCTAAATACATACTTGTGGAGGATATTTGAAGTCAGACTTACTTTGAAGATGCACTGTCCCCATGGGCAACATAGATGGCTGAAACAGTTCTACATTGCCATACTCGTTACGTGGTACCTTGCCATCTACTGCTGCTGGTGGGATGTATAACTCAGTTTGCCATTGACCATAAAGTGGTAGGAGTGGCTCATGAGACTTGTTCTGAAAAGTAAATGTGAAGAATTGTTAAAAAAGGATCAGCAATTGAAGTATTCCAAAGCAAAGATCTGCATTTGAATGGAAGCAAAGGTGTATGACATTAGGGCGTGGTGTATCAGGCAAGTGCAAGTAGCAAGAAGTACATGTACAGACAAAAAACTATCATGCCAAAAATTGCAAGAGGATGCAGCGTATTCAGCTGCCAGTCGTTTTTGTTCACTGTGTATATCTGAATGTTTATTCATGTGAAAACATCTTTCATTTAAGCCATCTTCTGTTATTTTTCTTTGGAAAGACTAGATCTTCTTTTTGGGGGTGTGTCTTTTGCTTTCCTGTGGACTACAGAGTGCTATTATTGATATTTTTTTTTTACTTGGATTGACCACTATTGATGAAGCAACAATACCCAACAATTCCATGACACGGGACTTCCGTGACACGGGACTGCCGTGACACGGGACTGCCGTGACACGTCTGCCGTGACACGGGACTGCCGTGACACGGGACTGCCGTGACGTCTGCCGTCGGGACTGCCGTGACTCGGGACTGCCGTGACTCGGGACTGCCGTGACTCGGGACTGCCGTGACACGGGACTGCCGTGACTCAAGACTGCCGTGACTCGGGACTGCCGTGACTCGGGACTGCCGTGACTCGGGACTGCCGTGACTCAAGACTGCCGTGACTCGGGACTGCCGTGACTCGGGACTGCCGTGACTCGGGACTGCCGTGACTCAAGACTGCCGTGACTCGAGACTGCCGTGACACGGGACTGCCGTGACTCGGGACTGCCGTGACTCGGGACTGCCGTGACTCGAGACTGCCGTGACTCGGGACTGCCGTGACTCGGGACTGCCGTGACTCGGGACTGCCGTGACACACTGGTGACTGCCGTGACACTGCCATGACACAGGACTGCCATGTGACATGGGACTGCCATGACACAGGACTGCCATGTGACATGGGACTGCCATGACACGGGACTGCCATGACACGGGACTGCCATGACACGGGACTGCCATGACACGGGACTGCCATGACACGGGAATGCCATGACACGGGACTGCCATGACACGGGAATGCCATGACACGGGACTGCCATGACACGGGAATGCCACTTCACCTGCATAACATGTCACAAAGTTTTGATGGCAAATTGCCACTAGGTATAATTTTCTGCGTGATACTTCATATTTTTGGATCTCTCTCCAGCTACTGAGAAGATTGTACTTCACCACATGCATACCCAGCTTGAAGGTATTGTAGTATCCTTGCATGAAAGCTGTGTATATTAGGCACCTAGTGATCTGAAACCACACACTCAAACCCAGACATTACTTCATCCACATTGGAATGCATGAACCCGAACTTACTAAATGAATAATGAATAAGGCCCCAACTTGGATCAGATTGCACCCTAGAACAATGTAGCCCTTTGATAAGCATAGAACCTCATGTGATGTACTGAGATGTATTGAGACACAATAAACCAAGTAAGCATTGAAGCAACAACTATTACCTGTGTGCTAGTGACAAGCTCACTACATTACAGGTATGTACACCACATACCTACAAGCTGGTAATCACAGTTGCCAATCTTTTTTCTCCCTGCCAATGCCACAATACAGCACTGTCCTGCAGAACTCTCCTAATAAAGAGTACCTCTTTGTATTAAAATGAATTGTAACGTTGGTGCCGGGCCACCAACAGAGGGCGCCAGCACGAACCCACGGTGCAATCGTAGTGTTGGGATCCTTGCTGCTTGGCTAGGGGACCCCGTTGACAAACTGCGCCGACTCAGTAGTGTGACATTTTGTATAACATGTCTTTGTTGTGAGTTGTTAAAGGAGAGAGCCTCGTGTAAGAAAGTAGAAAGAATACATGGCCTAGAGCCCTGAAACCTGTGGTTTCCTTCGTCTGGCGTGTTAAAAACCAAGATTGGTGGCAGCTGTGGCATGTCTGACGGAGGAGCAAACAGGTAGAATTTTAAGGTTTTTCACTATGTATACACCAGGTCAAGTTAGTCTGGGGTCCGTCTCGCCACACGGCGGGTATACACAGGCTGGATCAGGGCCTCGCAGAGCACAGGCCAACCTATAGTGAGATGGCCAGCAAAACTTTTGTCACGTTGGATGACTCGGATAGGGCCCCCCCCCAAAAAAAAAAAATTCATAAAAAACAACAAATGGCAGTAGCCAATTGAAGAAGTTGATGTGCGAATTATCTCGCCCCCCCCTCCCAAAAATATTTGTGAGTAGGGGGCATTTGTACACTATATGGTATTATAGGGTGCATGGTTATAGGTTTTATCAGCACTCCCAATTGAAAATGTGGTACGAGGCCCCCCCCCCCCTCCCTTTTGATTTTCAGAGTCCTAAGAGTCTGGAAGAAAAAAAAAACGGTCTACAATTCACCCCTGCTAGCCCCCCAAAAATAAAGGCTCTAGAACCGCGCCTGGATGGCCCGTCCGAGGTGTCAAAGCCGGAGACAGGGTGAGTGAAGCCTCGGAAGGAGACCCCAGTCGAGACCCCAGAGGAGACTCCAGAGGAGCCCAGGAGACCCCAGCGGAGACCCCAGCGGAGACCCCAGCGGAGACGCAGCATTGTTCAGGGATGAACAAGTGTCCTTGGAGAGGGCGATGTAATGTTGGTGCTGGGCCGCCGGCAGAGGGCGCCAGAACGGACCCACGGTGCATCCGTAGCGTTGGGATCCTTGCTGCTTGGCTAGGGGACCCTGTTGATGGACTGCGCTGACTCAGTAGTGTGACATTTTGTATATTTTATATATGTTTATTACCGGTTGGGAGTCGGGATGTTGGTAATGCCCCGAGCCGAATACCTTTTCGATCACAAATCAAATAGCTTTGGTCCATAAGTCATAACAAGTCAAATTAAAAAAATTTCAACGGTTTTGTTCAACAATTTTACCTCATGTTTTCCAAAACACCCCTCTAGTTATGTTTTGGCATGGCCCTCTCGCGAGAAGTCATAAACAACTCCTCATATGGAGAGTGGCACGGGCACTTGATGCAGAACGCAGCTGTGCCGGTGTAGAGGAAATTTTGGACTATGAAATTCTAACCCACGGGTAGTATTGCATATGCCCATGTGAGGATTGTGAATGTTCAACCATTAAAACGGTAAAAGGCACCCGCTTTCATAGGAGTCAAAATTTTATGTGACACTGGTAAAGTGTTTAAGACCAGCCAGCCGGTCTTTATCAACCATTTTAAACCAGTCACGTGACAGGCTCTCGACCAAAAGAAATGGGTAACTGTCTTAGGTATTCATGAATGACGACTGGTATTTTGGGGAATTTGAGCCATCTTTCTATTTATCAATCTGCTGTAACTTTGCGAGAGTCACGCGTGCAATGCACACACTATTTATGCCATCATGTTTGGTGATAAGTGGACAGAGCTTTAAAGCAGTGGTTGTTTTTAAAATACTGTAACTTGATAAGTACATAAGTGATTTGAATGATTCTTGTACTAAAAGAAAGCTTACAATTTTGGCTTTCATATCCTAGATTTTGAAAGTTCAACATGCAAAACTTCACTAAAACCAGGGTCCTGACATTTGGGTTTCACTTTTTTTAACTCACTCTGTATGCCCCGCTTTGATTTTCAAGATGGCATACCCTGATAAAGGCTATCAAGTCTGGGAAAATAAACCCGATCATAGCGCAGCCATTTCTCATGGTGGGAAATTCTTGCCATGAGGAAGTTCGGGCGAAGACCATTAGTCTAGTGGATGGTTCATGACATAATTTATGCCTGCGCACAAATAGCAACGTGCAAACGACCCCAGTCAAATGAGGGTCAAAAAAAGATCATCACAAAACTCCTTGGTCCTGGCCATCCACTGCCTTTTATGATGCAGGCGGCTATTACTAACCAGCCATGCAATCATTCCACCGGTCCCATTCAAAATAGATGACTAGAGCAGTCCCACCTTCGTTCGAGCAAAGTCAGTAAAACTATGGTTAACCATAGTTCTAGCCTAAATATGCTCAAAGCTGTATGTGCATCGTGCTTGACTGATATGATTGGCCAATATTGATCTGATTCACGCAACCAGGATAGAAGCTGGTGACAGCATTGGCAAGTCCGCCTGAACTTGCTCATGGCAGGAACTCTTGGTTCCAGTCAAAGGCTGTTGCTGGCACATTGTAGACAACTGCAGTGGGGACCTGTGAAAGCGCCCTGGCCTTTTCATGCTGCTTCATGCTACAATAACATTGTGTACCTTATTGACAGGAACTAGAAAGAGTAGTGAATCAAAGTGGCAAATGAAATTTAATGTCCAGAAATGCTACGTGAAAGTGTCCCATTGAAGATCACCTCATAATTACACATACATGTACACACATATTAATACACAATTGGCTAAAAAAAATAATACCCCTACCTGGGTGTAATGCTGACTGCAAAATGGTAATGGAACTCCACATGTAAACAAGATAGTGGCTAAAGCAAACAGAACTCTTGGGTTTATCAAGCGTAACTAACACTCGTGTTCAAAAAGTGTCAAAAATCTGGCATATAAAACACTAGTACGTCCAACAATCGAGTACTGCGGATCTGTTTGGAATCTGTCAACAAAAGAACTCACAAAAAGCTTGGAGCAATGCAAAACAGGGGTGCTCGGAGTGTAAGCAGGGATTATGGTAGAACAAGAAGTGTGTCAACAATGAAGCAAGAACCAGGATGGGAATTGTTAGAAGTCTGCAAAAGAGTGAAAATCTCCATATTCCAACAAGACCTGTCGGGTCGCCTCTCCATACAGCGCAACAGTTCCTACGTCCAGTCCAACAATCATCAAGCCACAACACTCTGAACAGTTGGCCTCCGTAAAATATATGGTGCTTTTCAGGGCGATACATGTGTGACATTCTGAAAAAGGCACCCAAAACGGCAGATGCCACAAAAAAATGGCACCACTTCCTTTTTGAAAAGAGCACTTGTTCAGAAAAAAAGGACACTTCGTAAAAAAAAAGGGGTACTCTTTACAAATTATTGGGGGGTAAGCCCGTTGAAAAAAAGGGCATTTGAATGGGAAAAGGCAGTCTTTACAAAATATTGGAGGGGTAAATACCCTCCTTACCACAACTTTTCAAATGAATGGAGTACCATTCTTATTCTTTGTGATCAGTTACACAAATTGAATTTAACTTGAAAACGGAAGAATTTTACTACAAAAAAAAAATGAATTACGAAAGTGTTGAGTGAGGAACATAAAACATTGCATTACGTCGTTATCACCTAAAGTAATGCCCTCTAGTGGTACATCAAATAAGTTGAACTTGCTGAAATTTAAAATTCATTCATCTCTTTTTTTCTTTCAAATTGCTCCGACGTATTCTTTGGACAACCAACCACAAGTGACTTTGCAAGGTTTCTGAATCATGACGTCATCAGAACAGAAGTTTTTTTTTTTTTTTAAATTCAAATCAATCATTTGATTAGTGTCCAATTACTCTGTTCGTATGGCGAAATGATGATACCCAGTATGTTGACCTTGGGCTTCAAAATGCTGTGATGTCATCAAACTGTAAATGAGGAGTTGTTAATACATACACTTAACCATTCATAGTAATTTGCATATTTTCAGAACTTTTTTCCCACCTGATGATGATGACAATGTATTCTCTCTGGACTAAATCAGTTTTCAGTATGCACATTTTTGCTGCTGACATCATCAAACCAGAAATAACGTGAAATTGTACATAAAATGAACTGAAACTTATCATACCCTAAATGATGTATTTTTTTCTTGAATTAAATGAATGGTTTTACTGTAAAGGCTGAACTTCATGATCCTTTTTGATAAAAAAAAATAGTCACAACTGGGCAATGTCATATGAGAAAGTTATTGGCCTGATCACCCAGTGTTTGTTACTCAATAAATGCGAATCTCTAGTTGCTGTTATGGTTACTTTTTTTGGGGGGGGGGGACCACACAATGTTGACAGCACTGAATCACAGAACATCAATGGAGATAGCTCAGCAAGCCGTTTCAATAATTGGTTCTTCGGAATGGAGATCTGTATAATGTTAATACAAATCTCCATTAATATGCAGCAGATTTTCTATAATGTGTGTGCATGTGTGCATTAATAGAAATGGCCCCAACATTTGGGAGGTATTTCTAAAAACAAAACACATTATGGATTATTCCCACAACAAACAAATTGACAACCTCAGAGGAAAACATCTGCCATTTTCATTGTGGACATTCTCTTGTACGTACACATGTGAAGCTATCTGATCAGCTACGAACCATCATTTCATTCAGCGGTTCAGATTTTCCAAAAAGGTTTCACCGACAGATGAAGGAACAATGTAAGGCATAAGTTAATTATTGTCTTACCTTTCTTGGTCTGGCTTTGACCATTTTATAAGGTTTTTCACCATGCTGAATAGCTAAACCTTGTTTCTTCCAGGTTTCTTTTGTGTGCAGCTGAGGGGAAAAGGGGACATGTACTTATTTTAAGTCTATTCTCTTTAACTATGTACAAATTTGCTTCCAAAGTACGATTATTCTAATGTGACATCTAAAAGTTTAAATTCTATTGACTTTTATAGTAGCATAAGTTAACCAGGGGCATTAAAGCGATGCTACTTTAAGAGTCTTTGGAATTCAAACTTTAGTTTTAGATGACACTAAAGAAACTTCGGATCAAGAAGACCAGGCTTAACTGCTACTTCCATGCAGTCAAGACAGTCATGTGGTTGCTAAGGCAAAACATCTGCTGTTGTTTAGCAAAACTAATCTGATTTCGTACTTAGACGCTATAGCAGAGCAATGAAATTCATGCACCACAAAAAAAACATTGCCTTTTGAACGTTGTGTTTCTCAGAAAATATGCACAGTATGATTGTAAAGTTATATTATAACGAAAGAAGAAATTCTAAACTTAATGTCAGTGAAATAATCACTGTCATCGATGCCAAAACCTCAATACTGGTTACTGTCAAAGCTGACCTTCAAGTCTGGAAGAAATTATTCGAAAACTACTCCAAATCTCTGTATTTATATCAATTTCTAGGAATTTCTCAAAATTATTACTTCACAAGTACTTGAACACTTACATCATCTAAGTATATTCCGAATTTCAGCTTAATCTGTTGTTGCAAACGCTAGTGTTACAATTTGAACCATCTCCATGGAAAATTTTGACGATGATTTCTGCCGACCCAAGCCACATGCATTGTTCAGCAAAGTGCCTTAGGCACTATGGTTGACTGATTTCGGCCAAGCCACACAATAACGTATGTAGATTAGCATATGGGCAATTCCACAGTTACTCACGTTACATTTTTGATGTATTTTTGAGTTTCCTTGGACTGTAATTACCTAACTGAAAAGGTTTAATGACTGTTATCCCCATGGTAGATAGAGTAGACCTAGCACCAAAGATGACATCCAGAAAAATGTGTTATGTATGATAAACAAGACGCACAAAATCAGTTACTCGCGTTACATTTTCAGACATGCATAAAAAGCAAACATGCTTTGAGCAAAAAGTGTCCTCATACAGGCAACCTGTGGAAGTTTCTTTTAAATGGATAAAAGACCATGCCATGGGGCACACATAATAAGAGTAAAACAAATCCTCTAGAATCTCCCATTTTTTTGCAGTCCACAAAAAACATGGTTAGTCACGTTACGGTTACTCACGTTACATGTTGTCCGACCCATCTCAGAATTTTATGGCATGATGTTTTTTGACTAAATTATCATGACGAGTATTTTTCTACCCAATAGGCATCAGAACTACTAAAAACTCTGAGTTAAATTTGCATTTTGGATCTCCGATGGCAAGTACTCCAAGATAAAGGTTTTCATCTGACATTATTCTGATACTGTTACAGTGCATACTGATCCCCTATCAGGAATTTGATGTTTCCTCTTAAGTCCAGCTGTAATTTAGTGTTATTTTTAAAAAGTGCTGAGCCACCAGAACAAACCTCTCATGTTCTGAGAGTCTGCTAAAACTTAATGTATGCCACAATAGCACAGAATATTGGGTGCATGGAAAGGCCACACTATCAGAGACCATGATGTGGAAAGTGGGTTCCAGGGAATCAAGGGCATACCTTAGTGTTAAGTGCCTACATGTAATGTAATTTAACTTTTGTTACAAAAAAAACTTAAACTTTACCAAACTTTTTGAGTTCTTTGTAGTAAAAACAAATATTTTTCACTTTACGACACGATTTCTCCAAAAAAATTTGATAAAATTGGGTTTTCTTTGTTAATTTCTCATACTTGAATGCATAATCTATAATAAAAATGTGAAACTGGGTTGAAAAATAAAACTTTTTATTTCTTAGCCATGTCCATCAAACCGTGGAATTGCCCATATTCATTAGCATCACTCAGCGTGTTTTGGCGTGGGTCTCAGTATCGACCAATAAAAGCTGGATAAAAATGGTGATATTTATCAATTAATTACTCGTGAAGGAGGCTTTTCTCAAAATTTTTACTGCACACCATAATGGAAAGGAACCTTATTAATATTTGTGAGGCTTAAAAAGATTGACAGCTATTGCAAATGTCAGTGTTACAACTTTCAAAAATGCACGTGGCCAGGCCTATTTTCAAATGTCAACGAAAAGTAAAGAACATATCACAACGATTTTTAGCTCGTACTTGGATCATTATAGGGGAAATAAATCCTGAAGGTTGCATGAAGATACGGTCTTCCAAACTGGAGAAATTAATTTTCAAAGATTTCCCCACCTACGTGAACATGTGTGTGCACATGTAGTTTCATTCAAAATAAAGTGTTACATAACTTTTAGAAATCGCCCTTCGCAACCACTGGACTGAAGATACCAATATTCAATCATCCATCAAATATCCAAAATTGCAATTTCTCCAATATGACTATTCAAAAAATGTGAGTGTTCTAAAAAAAACTGAAGAAAAAGGCAGTGACATTAAGTTAATCGTATAAATTGTGTTGTTTTATTTTGTTTTAGTCCAGTGGACGTGGGTTCAAATACTACTGTTCAAATTGTGAATTTTTTCATAAAAGTGGCATATTTTGTACATAGAAATTTTTACATTAAACATACTTAAAGATGCCGAGCTATCAAAAACAGAACATATTTTCCACATTTTTGATGCCCGTATTTTGTCAATGAAAGCCCTTGTTTGAAGTTGCACCACAGTTGTAACCAGTGACTGATTTTTGTGACTCAAGTCGAGTTGAGTCATTTTGAAGAAGTGACTCGAGTCGAGTCATTAGGTCAATAATATCGAGTCGAGTCAAATATTTAGCGACGCAATTCGAGTCACAAATACTTGAACACTATATAACAAATAAAGACAATGGAGAAAGTCATTTGTATCACTAACAGTTAACAAAAAGTAAAACTTCTTTTTTATACGTCTGGTTTGGCTTCGGGTCTAAAACTGTTTTCATCTGATAAAAGGTCATGATGGTTGACCGACAAATTATCATGAAAATGCAGGATTTTTAATATTTGTTTTTGAGGTTTTAGGAGCCAGCAGCAGACAAAGAAATATAACCCCCCAAAACCAGCTGGAGTAATTCAATAGGGGCCAAGGAGCATGTATGCACAAACAAATCAATTTCAGGGGGGCCTAAACCCTCACAATAAAAAGATACAATAAAATCTTACATTTGTAAAAGTTGTGTATAAAACTATATACCAGTTAGGCCTAGGCCCCCTGTAGCCACTCTGAAAAAAAACTACTAAAAGAGGTAAATAAATAAGGAAAATCTGGGTCAGCAGGCGACTTGACACTATCATCTCCAGACAGACATTTTCTTCATCGTTTTGGTCAGATAAATCCCCTGAACCGGAAGTGGGAAAATCCTCAATTTTGAGCAAAAAAGTTCAAGGAACATGACGGGCATCGAGTCAGACTCGAGTCGAGTCATTGATTCGAGTCATTACAACTCTGGCAGCTGTTTTGTAGGTTTTACACCTGGGGGGTTGTGAGACTTTTAATGGGAGGTCAAATCATTGTCCCATGGGCAAAATCATCAGCACATATCTAAGCCGCAATGAATAACAATGCCCCACTGCGCACGAGTGTCTAGTATCCTATGAATTGAAGAGCATCCCATTAGTAAAATGGTGCCTTGTCCTCCAAAATGCCTTCCCCCGCTATTTTGTGGCGGCCAAGTGATTGGGAAAGGATTTCTGGCTACCTACCAGCACGAAGTGGTAACTGGGCTGTCGGCAATTTTGTCGGCAATTTTGTCGACACTCCCTCCCCCCCTCAAATTGGTGTAGTGACATCCTTGCCTACACTTCCCTCTCCAGGTACTCACAATGCGCCACGCCTTCCGAGGAGGCAATATTAGATCATAAATATGCATTATAGTTACTCACGTGGCCATGAATTGCAGTCTAAAGTGAATACTTAATAGGTTTCGGAAATGGAAGTTACGTGTTTTGACTTATAAAAAATGCACAATGTGCATATTTTCATCCAAAACAGACTAAATTTATGAGTATTGATGCTTTAAATCAGTTACCATTGCAACAGTGGACAGTGGACATCCAACAGGAGTAGTTTTCATGTTGAATAGGGTGCATATTGTGCCCCCACCTAGGTCCCCATTTCACTTCTTATTTCACCATGTTCCTTCTTATGTCCGAAAAAAAGTCAACTTCACTTTATTCAGCTGTGTGAAGGTTGTTGGTGTAAATTGTAAAAACTTCACTTGCAAACTGACTTTCACTTTACAGTTTCAATTTATGTAAATAGAAATCAAAATCTGAATTTGGTAGCAAGGGGAGGGTGTGTGGCCTAGCGGGGTGGGGAGGACTGATCAACTGACTACAAATGGGTTGCTCTGCAATTCAGATGACACTGGACACTACCGTTTAATAGAAGGTGCTACTATTCAGCTGTTCACAACTGGAGACCAATATTCAATAAAGGGATGGCACCCTGGGATGTGGGTAAACTGGCCACCACACTTCTATCCATACATGCTCTTGAAGCCTATCATGAAACTCATGTCACAATAAATGACACTTTGGTGGGATTAGCACACTTGCAAGCGGGTCATACCAAACAAAAGGGGATTTGGGCTATTTTCTTCAAATATTGGTGTTTTTCGTCATATAAATAGAACAGTTTTCATTGATTTATGTACATGGCTTGTGCTACTGGAAAAAGAAAAGGGTTCGTATTTAAGGCAAATTCAGGGTGCACAGAGGGTTTGGCTTTGGGCAACTTCCACCACAAGACTTTGTGCATACTGTAGATATAGGCTAACAGCCGTCATTTGTTCTGCAATGGAAAAAGAATTCTTCCATCATGAGGCCAGAAGGGGGGGGGCAGAACATTAAAAAATCTTTAAAAAGAAAACCTTTATTTGCCAGTGAATCACAGCTGATTTTCTTTGAATTCTGGCAAAAATTGCCAAAGACATCATTTTACTGCGATAAATATTTTTAAATAATATGCAAACTCTTCCTAATTAAATGTTAACAGGTATACCGGTACATATACACAAAACAAATAAATATGATAATAACCATTAAAAACTTACAGTGTGAACACAGTTCCTTGAATATACTGCCTCACCTCTACAGTAGCCCAAAATAGTAGCAGATTCAGGGTACAGGGCCTCAAATTTCAACAGGTGCCGCTTTAGTACATATCTGTTATATAAAACATAAATGTATGCATTTTCATCCAAAGTCTTTGTGTTTTGGATTATTCGTTTACCATATTTCAAAGGTTTGCCTTTATACAGAAAATGTGCACCATGTCTTACATCTGAAGAGAAGAAGTTGAAAAGCCTAGTTTGTTCAAATCTGATGCAGCAGCTATTAATGATATACCTTTGTGTATTTTCAACAGTGAACATTTCCACATTACACACTAAGCAAGCAACAATGCACTATGGGATATCTGGTCCTTGAAAGTGTTTTTAAAAGAAACATGTGACAAGAATCAAGATGAGAACTAAAAACTGCAAATTTGTAAGGTATGAGCTCCATGTGCCAACAAAAGAGGGCGCATTTTTACCTCTTTTGAGAGCTTCGTGGGCAGGACGCACAGCATGCGTGTACTGTACTGTACTGTACTGTACTGGTTCGCTCGCAAAGTACGGGTGACTTCCTGAATGTGCAAAAGCTATAGCCACCGCATCTTCGCGTAAGCACCAGGCAGTGTTGTTGACTCGAGTCGCTGACTCGGACTCGAGTTGGACTCAAGTCTGACTCTTTTTTACTTGAGACTTGACTTGACTTGGGGAAAAATGACTTGAGACTTGACTTGAAAAAATATGACGAGACTTGACTTGACTCGAATAAAGTAAACTGACATTAACACGTTTCTTAAGGTTAGAAAAAAAAACACACGAACCTCAGGGCGTTCATGTGCACTACAGTGTAGCATAATGATATCGGTTGAAAAGAATGCAGATATACATAATGAATTAGCAACCACCACGCAATAGCTGGGCATCCTGAGCCTGCCACAAGTTATGTACATAACTAGCACTGTGCGTGTGTTATGGCGAAGTTTGTGCCGTGCGTAGTCTGAGTACCATCCGTTTTTATAGACAGTCATTCCATAGAGATCATAGGCTACAGGTACACATTGAGTGGTTTACCGGTAAGCGTGCTACTTGCAACTAGGATTTAAATGACTGGAAAACAGCTGCTTCCCCAAATCCACCATAAAACAAAAAGAATTCACATCATGTATTAGCTGAAAATGTTAAGAAGGACATTTTGTCAGACGTTCTTCAAACATTCAACATGACGGAACAAGTTTGAAATATTATATCAAAATGCATTTAGATACAAATAAGGTGTTTGAGAGAAGACATTTGAAAAGTATGATTTTTTTTTAAATCTCCTTACATGACTCACACTTTGATAAACCCCATTCCAATCTCTACTCCGGCTCTGTCGTGGAACACATAAACTGGTTCCTGTACGTAGTATGTACTTCTATTATCAAAAAAAATGACTCAAGACTTGACTTGACTTGAGAAAAAAATGACTTGGGACTTAACTTGTGAACAAGTGACTCGAGACTTGACTTGACTTGAAAAAAAAAAAAAAACTTGAGACTTGACTTGACTTGCTCAAATTTGACTTGGGACTTAAATTGACTTGGAAAACTTGGAAGAAAATGACTTGGTATCAACTCTGACGCCAGGCGTCGTCAGCGGGGGAATGCATTCAAAATCAAATTGCGGTGGTTTTCAAGACTAATCCCCCCCATCCAATAACTTTGGAAACATTTGAAATATGCAGTGGATGGATCGGGAATCAGTCTAGGTCACCCCAACTCTCCTTTTCTGGCTGCTGATGGGTTACTTGTGCACAAAGCGGATAGCTGTGTATTCTACTTTTGTATGATCGTTCCAAAAATAATAATTTTAAAGGAATTGTTTTTAAACCTAAAATGACACATTCTCAAAGTGCTCCTTCAACAAACAAAGTGATTAATAGATTGTTATCGCCAGACTACAAGTTCTATATAATTTATGTGAATTAACGAACCTTCATTGCGATTGATTCTGTGTGATGCAGTTGACAGGAAATGCATCACAATGCAAATGTAAAGAATGGAACTGCATAAACTGTACGTTCTCATTTCTACAGCAAATATTTTTATCATTACTGCATTTAAGTTGGTAAACTAATATCACATAGACATTTCATTCCGCTGGCCTAACTGATCTGGTACTGACCATGTCTTCTACACCTACAGAATGATAAAAATGCAGAAAAATGCAACTTACAAGTGATGGTTCTTGAACTCTGAAATGCTTGTTGGCATAGGTTTTTCTTGAAGTTGTTCTAGAAATTAATAGCAGAAAAAAATGTTAAGTCTTCACATCTTCAGAAATAATGTTTGTTCTGACTTTTATGGTGATAAAAATAAATAACTATGAGAACTGTAAAATACTGATGAAAATTCTAAACAAACCTGGAGAAAAAAAATGATATAAAAACGTATTAAACAAGTCCATACAGTAACTGCTAAAAATAATAGTGAAGCTGCCATGGCTAAACTTTAGAGTCAAAAGATGGGACAATACCAAATGATTACCATCAAGTGTGGTGTGTGGGCCAGAAAACTTGCAATGTAAAGGCATTTCTCTCTCATGTGTCACTCACAGGATGGGGAAGAAAAATGGGTGGATGCCACTCTTGAGTTAGTCTGGTGAAGCCTTAAAACTAAGACAGGCCAACGCATTGTTGGCAGAGTGACTTATAATGCCCTACATTGGTCAACTAAATATGTGCATGCGTATGAACATGGTGGTATGTTCAATGTGACACTTGTGGCTCTGGTGGGCTAATCAGACTACACAGGAGGCGTTACAGCTGAAGTGCATGGTGACAAATACAATTTCAGAACTTTTTGGCATTAATTCCGAGATATTTCAATGATATTCATAAATTTAATTCAGTGTTTGCAACCCAACACTGATTTGTTCACAATTCTTGAATTTTACCCGTCCATCCTCTCAATTGGCACAGTGCACATGGACCAATTAAATCACAACTTTTTATTAGGTAACTTGCTGAACTTGCTATCTACTTGACCTGCCATTAGCTCTGTCAAACTCGGTAACATGCCCTGTGATAAATGTACACTAACCAATTGGTACACTGTTATTTTCATTGTAAAATGACACAGCTGCCAACTTTTAGAAATCCAAATTAGTAATCAATCCCCGCGGTCATTTTCAACTGCGGGTACATTAACCAAGTATATAACCAGCTTTACGAACTTCGAGTACAGGTACATGGTTTACATGTACACATACATGTGCATACCCTTCTTGTTGTGATTAATAAATATACTGTGTAGGCCTTGGATAATTTAAAAAAAAAAAATTAATAAATAAATTAATTAATTAATTAAAAAATTAAAAAAAACATAATTTTTTTTAAATTAATTGTGTTTTACTGTCCGTATTTGTTTGTTGAAGTCAGATAAATAATAACAATAATAACATGTGCGCATATTTTTCGGAGATGCATTCTATATAGATGTTGAGTTTCCAGTTGGTATCCCGCCAACATACCTTGCAAACGCATGCTGATTTATCTTTTCTGGACGCTGTGATAAACTCCAACTTTATTACCGATTCTTCCAACCATACCCTTAAATTCCACGATCAAAAACTTGCACCAAGGCCAAAAAAAAAAAGTCTCCGGTTTCTGGTATGCGCGCGCGTCTCCGCAGCCATGCGCGTCAGCAAAATGAAAAAGTTTTTTTTTCAATACAAGATGATGTCTCAAAACCGCCAAACTCACTGGTTTGACTGGAATCCTGCTGCTGCACAATTTTAACGTGTTTTTAGATGGGGTTATGATCGAGAATAAGCTTTATGTGGCCTCTCTGGACTCCCATATATTTGCACTAAGTTTAGTCGGGCACCATTTGCAGTCATCAGCCGACATTTGAAGCCAAAAAACAAAAACAAAACGGGTAAAAAAAAAAAAAGCCGCGTCGCCGCACCACTTTTGGGGCAAGCTCCATACCAGAAACCGGAGACTTTTTTTTTTTGGCCTAATGGGTCTCATCCCAGTAATAAGTGACCAATGTGCTCACGATCGTCACCGAACAGTAGTCAGTACACACGTACACATCCACACATATCCACGAGGTGCACGCAATCGACACACCATTGAAAAATATTTCTAGTCTCGTCCTCAAGTACTCCACACTGCGCACACTGCATTAGACTTGTCACAAGTCCATCAATTATCATAACATTTCACCACAAGTTTTCAGACAAAAAGGATACTTTACAAGTTTTTTTTTTTTTTCATTAGGTTGAGAATGGGAAATTCGTAATTTTTTTCGTGGCAATACGTATTTTTGTAATTTAACCAAAAATTCATAATACATGTAATTACGAAAAATTTGTAACAGTTGGCAGCTATGAAATGAGGCTGCATGTGGCCCATATTAAAGGCAATAGGAACATTGGTAATGACCAGAAAATTATTTATTTAGATAAAAAAATGTGCTCAAAGTGAAGAAAGAACTGAAACCAAAACTCTATGAAGTGAAATGATGTTGTTTGGAACTTTTATTGGAAGTAAACAATTACTGAAGGTGGGTTAAAAAATGTGTCCACCACCACACATAAAAAAAGGATGGTGTTTGTTACCGAGAGGATTACCCATCCACTAGAACCGCGACATCACGTACACTATCTAGCTGAATAGGAATAATGTCCCTAGAACTAATTTAGGGATTGTACATTAGAAGGTACAATTTAAAATCAGAATTGTTTCAATTTTACCCCCATTTATTAAGGGGAAGCAGAGGTCAGTGGGCCTTAGTACCAAAGTGGAATGGTCCATGCAAACTGAAAGGACCGGAGCTAACAATCGAGGACTTCACCCAAATATGCAAATAACATTTATGTACACGTACATGTAAGTTATATTCTCCATGCATGATGCATACATATGTACACTTACATGTATGTACGGTACAAACGATCTTTTCCCTATGCCCTTGGCTTTTCATGTATATGTGTAAATTAAAATGATGCTAGCCAGTGGTGTAGCCAGGAATTTTTCAGCGGGGGGGGGGGGGGGGGGGGGGGGGGGCGGGGGGGCGGGGGGGGGGGCGCTGGGGGGGCTGGAACATTTCATGGGGGGCGTCATGTAGATCAATGATAATTTTTTTAGAAACTCAAAATCTCAGTGGGGGGGCGACAAGGTTTCATGGGGGGCTGTCGCCCCCCCCCCCCCACGCCCTCCCGTGGCTACGCCACTGATGCTAGCACCACGTATAATGAGCAGATTTATAAGTGTTGGATTTGCAATGAAATTTACTTGCATTTGCAAGGCTATTAATGACCTGCACTCACTTTGTAAGTGTTCATCTTCTTCTTTATCTTTTTTGATAAGCTTTGTGTGGTAAGGTTTCAATGTGTTCTCCCACCAGACTAAGGGCGCCCTCAGCTTTTCTGTCTCATGCATCCACTTGGATGCATAGCGCTTGGTGACATCCTTTACACAGTTTTCTGCAAAATAAAAACAATTCTTATAAACACTTTCAACACTTTAGTTCAAAACCACCAGAGTATCTTATAAATTTTAACAGTAGTTGTTACTGCTGTGCCACATACTGTCCTAAACATTTTGAGATATGGACTTTGCAAGAAGCTTTAAAAAATCATTCTGTTAAAAAAAGGTAGGGGCAGAGTTAATCGAATCTATATCCCCACTTTAGCAGAATCAGGTGACTAGAACTAGAAGGTGTTACTTTGAGTTTTGTCCATTGCAACCTTCAAATTCAGGAATACTTTGTATTAATAACTAATATGAAACGGACAGAAATGTGATGATATTTGGCCAACAGAAGCTTAATGTCTCCATCATGCAACCATTGTGGTTCTTGCATTATTGAGGCATGAGGTTGAATTTTAGGTGTTCTCTTTCCTTTACAGACAGAACACTGAGGGTTGGAAACTATCTGTTTTGCACATGACCTCACAGACAGAGAGAGCTTTTTGTGGGCAGGGGCAAAATGACGATTTCCTGGTGTCCCAAGTCTCAATAAGCTACTGAAACCCCAATACTCTAAAATCTTCACCTTACATATTCACAATTTCAGAACCATGTGTAGCTTTTTTATTATGTAAACCTTTAACTCAACAACCATATTTTCTATGTGCAGGCTTTGGCAGACTGCTTTTGATGTAAAAATGTCAATCCAGCAATTTGACAAGAGTGGAAATATCGTTACTACATGTATATAATCTATTTAGTCCTCTAGAATATTCTTACCATTATCAACAGCTATAATATAGCATATTGGATTAGTTGCACTCTGCTCACATAAATCTGGTCGGTCGATATGGCCCCCAACACAATCCACACAGATCCACTTCTTTTCTTGAGGAAGGTAAATTTCAATCCAACTGTTCAACTCTATACATGGGTGAACAAAAAAAATATTTCAAACAAGAAGTAGTGCTTAAACCACATGTTTAATTAATTATGACCAATAAGGTAAAAAAAACTTTTTTAAAGAAATTAACAGAAACTTTTGACATTTCATGAAATACAGACTTGCTCTTCAATTTCCAACACAAAGAAGACTGAGTAGCTGAAAGTTTTAGCTTGAATGAAAACTATTAATTCAGACTAAGCCAACACAAATCAATCCCAAGACCAACTCAGATCCAGGCCATCACAACCCCAAGACCAACTCAGTTCCAGACAATCACAATCCCAATACCAACTCAGATCCAGACCATCACAATCCCAAGACCAACTCAGACCCAGACCATCACAATCCCTAGACCAACTCAGATCCAGACCATCACAATCCCAAGACCAACTCAGATCCAGACCATCACAATCCCTAGACCAACTCAGATCCAGACAATCACAATCCCAAGACCAACTCAGATCCAGACCATCACAATCCCAAGACCAACTCAGATCCAGACCATCACAATCCCAAGACCAACTCAGTTCCAGACAATCACAATCCCAAGACCAACTCAGATCCAGACCATCACAATCCCAAGACCAACTCAGATCCAGACCATCACAATCCCAAGACCAACTCAGATCCAGACCATCACAATCCCAAGACCAACTCAGATCCAGACAATCACAATCCCAAGACCAACTCAGATCCAGACCATCACAATCCCTAGACCAACTCAGTTCCAGACCATCACAATCCCAAGACCAACTCAGACCCAGACCATCACAATCCCCTGACCAACTCAGATCCAGACAATCACAATCCCAAGACCAACTCAGTTCCAGACCATCACAATCCCAAGACCAACTCAGATCCAGACCATCACAATCCCAAGACCAACTCAGATCCAGACCATCACAATCCCCGGACCAACTCAGATCCAGACAATCACAATCCCAAGACCAACTCAGTTTCAGACCATCACAATCCCAAGACCAACTCAGATCCAGACAATCACAATCCCAAGACCAACTCAGATCCAGACCATCACAATCCCAGAACCAACTCAGTTCCAGACCACCACAATCCCAAGACCAACTCAGATCCAGACCATCACAATCCCAAGACCAACTCAGATCCAGACCATCACAATCCCAGAACCAACTCAGTTCCAGACCATTACAATCTCAAGACCAACTCAGATCCAGACCATAACAATCTCAAGACCAACTCAGATCCAGACCATCACAATCCCAAGACCAACTCAGATCCAGACCACCACAATCCCAAGACCAACTCAGATCCAGACCATTACAATCCCAAGACCAACTCATATCCAGACCACCACAATCCCAAGACCAACTCAGATCCAGACCATCACAATCTCAAGACCAACTCAGATCCAGACATCTTAAACCAAGAACAATTGGGACCCAAACCATCTGAAACCAAGCCCAACTTGGACTCGGGCCAACTCAAACCCTGGCCAACTCCAATGTAGATCAACTTTGATCTTATACATATATGCACATTTCACATGGTGTCTTTCTAGCAATCCTAAATTCTTTATAATGAAAAGGCATTCTTGAAGCTTGCATATTTTTATCCTTCGAGTATTTAAACTTGAACTTCTTTTTAAAACCATGGGGACCATGATTACAGGATTTGAATGTAGGAACACACTTTCATATTGGTTTCAACAATAAAAACCGTGTTCTTTATAATTTCAATTCAAGAACATCTGATCTTGGGATTATTACCTGAATATTTATGTGTTTCAAATCCACGAATTAATATTATGTTTTTAAAATTCTTGCAGATTGTTATCCAGCCTGCCATACCTGCTGAAAATAATGAACAAGCCTTCAAAAACTGGTTACTTTGATTGGTCAAGTGATGTTGCTGCATGTGCATGGTGATGGTGTTGCATATGCATCAATGAATAAATGCGTGTACACGCGAGTGGGGGTGCTGATGGCAGATTGATCAAGTCGGAATTGCTAATTACTATACCTCATACATATTCATGATCGAGAGCCGAACACTCACTGGTCAATTCACCATCACGTGCCAGATTTTATTTTTGCTGTTTACCAAGCGCGCGCGTGAGGATTCACGCACAGGGTAAATACGCATGCGTAGTAGACTGTCGCACGGGTTACCCGTGCGACAGTCTAAACATGCGCTTTACAAGCAATCGTGGAACTGTCGCACGGGAGTAGTAAGCACGCGCGAACATCACCCAAACGAGTTACACACGATGAGATGGTTGCACGGCGCGTTATTTTCCCGAGCGAGCTCAATGATGCCGAACTAAAAAATATTTATGGACAATTAAGATGTCTCCTGTACAAAAGAATGTTGTACACAAACTATTTACAGCTGCACTGCATTGTAAACAAACTGAACTAGTGAAGGTGAGCAATACAATTCTTTTGCTGAACTGGTGAAGTTTCCCCCCCCCCCCAAAAAAAAATTGAGGTGCATACTGCAAAGAAAAAAACAACAAAGCGGCGCTGAATATGTATGAGGTATAGTAAAACAAATATAACATGGTTTATTTCGGGTGGACAGCCGATATTCGCTCCCCTCGGTATTGGAAGTTGACAAACTAGTTCCCTCGGCTTCACCTCGGGAACAAGTTTGTCAACTTCCAATACCGAGGGGAGCGAATATCGACTGTCCACCCTCAAACCATGTTATGTTTGTATACTGTTGCACCACATGTGCACATTCTCTGTGCATACACACACACACATGTACGTATAACACGTGTGGCATTGTTATACGGGACTGAAGCGTCGTGCTCGATTTTTGTGATTTTCTTAACTTATCTTTTAAGATACCGACTTAAAGCAATTTTGACTTGAGTCAAGTCTACATCATGCATTGCTAGTTAATTTAGAGAACATCGACAAGCTGGTGTTGGCTTCACAATCCACAACACCACTGTGAAGATTATGGATTCTTGACCAATTTCATCAATTCACCCCTCAAGCTGATGCAGCTTAGCATCAGCTATCATTGCTTAGGTAAGTTGCTACACCGTGACTTTACAAGCCTAACAGATGTCAAAGAGGTCTTCTACCAGCAACTGGTATTGTTGATCATTATGGAGGATTTTAATGCTTGAATTGGACTTGACCACTGCAAGTAGCAGAAAGTCCAAAGCCATCATGGTATGGGTGGCATCAACATGAGTGGCCTTTCCCTACGCTACCACCATGTTCCATTTACCAGAGAAGTCAAAGGACATCTGGGTCATGGGCGTCACAAGGATTTTTGTCTGGGGTGGGGGGGGGGGGGGTTAAAGCACATTTTTCCCCAAAAATCCTTGTACTTTAGCTAAATTTATTATTTTTTCTAAAGGGGGGGGGGAGGGGGCCAGTGTTGCCCACCCCACCCCCAATGACACCCCTACAGACACATATTTTGTTAAAATATGTATTAAATTAATGGCAAATATGACTTCACACGTCCTTTTCCTTTTTCTTTCTACTTTTTTGGGTGCTTTTCCGGGGGGGGGGGGGGGGGGGGGCTAGTTCCCCCTTGCCCTCCACCCCCCTCCCCCGGCGACAGCCATGATCTGGATGCATTTCAACAAAATACGAAAATGCAGGGACTTATTGTACAGGGAAAAAAGTTGTTAAAAAACACTGAAAGAAAGACAAACAGAACAAATTCCAACAATTTCAAAATGATGATCGAGTTGGAACATAATATCATCATTTTCTTGCAGACGCCTTCAGAGGAAAATATTTAACTATTTCTAGTATCTGATCTGAAACAAAATCAAAAATGAATAGATGAATTCATTCACTGACGGATCTACAAGATTGAAACAAATCACTTACCTGTTCTATTTGAGGGCACAACATCCTTTCTGCAGTCATCTTCTGAGTCCGAGGATAATATATGTCTGTTGCTTGTCTTTCTACAAGCAGAAGAGGTTTTTGAAAGTACTTGTACTTCTGTTTTCAAAAGCACATCAGCCTCACAATCACTACCTGGACTCGTTTCTCCCATTTTCTTTTTGTTTCCATACTTGCGAAGCACTTTGTTCATTCCAAGGTGGGCCCCACTGTTTCTTTTCGGTTTACTTGAATTCAGGTTGGTTTTTGACACTTTTTGTTTCTTTTTTACATTTCTCTTCGGCGTGAAATCTGCATCAAATGGTTTTCCTTTCGGTGAGTACTCTTTCTGTGGGACTTCTTTACTGAGTACCTATACATTAAAAAGAGTGGAAGATTAAAAAATAAGTTACATAAAAAAAAGGAAGCTCACTTATATCCTGCTTAAACTGGAGATTTGCCGCAGAAGCTGATTTGAGGGCATCATTATTTTGAGACTTAAACTCATCCCTGTTAAACTAACAGGTTTATTCATTATTGTGGGTTACTTTTATCTTTTATATTCTGAATAGACGTAACTGAAACAAGATATTTTTTTAGTACGTCTTTCCATAAAAGGTTAGATAGTTCTGACATCAACTCCCAAACAAGAAAACCAGCTCAAAACCATTACAATGCGCCTTGAAGATCGGCATAGATTTTCCAGTATGCACAATAAGGCCCAAAAAAAGTCTCCAGTTTCTGGTATGGAGCCTGCCCAAAAATAATGAGAATTAAGATGTTTGAATGTCACCCGGGTTCACCGATCAACTGCAGCTACTCTTGTGAAGTGAATAATGTTTGGTTATGAAAAGAACTCGTTTCAGTTATAGTTTACTCTGACTGTCATCAGGTTTTTGATACTTGACACTAGCTGTGTTTGCCTACTGACCAGAGCTGTAACGACTCGAGTCAACTCGAGTCACATTTTTTGGCGACTCGACTCGACTCCAGTCCCGACGGGTAAATGACTCGACTCGACTCGAGTCACTGCGGGCAAATGACTCGACTCGACTCGAGTCCCTCATCATAATGACTCGACTCGACTCGAGGAAGGCTAATACAACTCGAGTCCCAAAAATAAAAGCAAAACTTATTTGTGAAAAATATTTGCAATGACTTACGCTGCGCCGTTCGCGTTGCCAGTTTTTGTTCACGTCACGTTATATTCGCGAATAATGTACGCTCATATACAGCGGCCATCTGTTTTCCTTCCTCCATAGTGATACAACAAACACACACCGTGTCGCGGACTCCCACCTTGTGGTTCTATACCTGTAACATGTAATGCTAAACCCGGAACCAGACTTAAAACGCATTTCTCAATCCGTGGTTTTATCATTGGTTTCGGGCGATTTCTTATTAAGCTCTCGGTGGAACGCTGGCTAAATTTATGTCCCGATTTCACAAAACAAAATGGATAAGGACGGGCCAACCTTTAAATAATCAGAAACAGTTTTGTATAATGCAATTAGGTTTTGACGTTGTCAGGGATCATCGAACAACAAAATCTAGACCCGAAGCCAAACCAGTTATAAGACCGATGTTTCACATCTTCTTATCTGTGACGTGAGCTAGCAACTGTTGGTTGGGTACCATATAGCATACTTTATGTCTTTGGATTTTCGCAATAGACTGGTGCCTTGTATTCTTTCTCTCTTGTGTTTGTTGCTTTTTATTGTAATTTATAATATAGTGTTAAAATATTTGTGACTTGAATTGACTAAATACTTGACTCGACTCGACTCGACCACACACTGTGACTCGACTCGACTCGACTCGACCTTGTTGATCTAATGACTCGACTCGACCCGAGTCACTTCTTTAAAATGACTCAACTCGACTCGAGTCACAAAAATCAGTGACTCGTTACAACTCTGCTACTGACAAACTGTTCTCACAACAGTCCTCACAGCTTGAATTCAGGTAGAGAATCTGCTGATTTCAATGCCAATATACCCCCATTCCTAATATCCAAACAGGGCAGGTGGAAACATAGGAATGTGTATTTTCAGGTTTATAATTATCCTACTTTGCTTGCCACAAAAAAATCTTGGCATTTAAAACATAAGTTTTCATAATACTTTCCAAGCTCAAAACTTGAATCTCTTGGCATAATTAGTTTGAACTGAATTTCTGATGGCATTTTTTCAAGACTTACTCCAGATTAAATAAAAAAACATATAAACAAAATAGAGTAGCGATAATAACAGAAAATTAAAAATGATGAGACAAAATAAAATAAAATAAAATACAATAAAAAACTTCTTTTCATTTGTGCAACAAATTCAATAGAATATATATCTGCCCGTGAAGATTGTTAAGATGAAAGATAGACTGTGGTGTAGTTATGCTTTGACTCCATTTGGATACATTAGATCATGCACATTAAAGAGCAGGGTTTGCTCACGGCAGATCCCAATGTTCACTCTGGCAAGGGGAATCAGTTGTCAGTTTTATCATTTTGTTTAATTTTGTTGCATGCACATGAGGTAAAAAAAAACAAAGAAATGTAACACGGATGAAGAAAGTATTATTTTCAAGTTTGTGGTTTTTTTACGTTTATTCGAATAACTAGTTATAATTTATGAATCTAGATATATGCCCTCGTCTCATACAAGTTTGTGTTTTTCTAGGTTGTGTCTTTGTGTGTCTCACTGTTGTCCATTTTGTCCTTTGTCACTGTCTCTGTTTTTCTCGGTCATGTCCACTTGTCTGTTGATACTTTAGGGTACAAAAGCATGACGCTTCACCTTATACCTAAATGTTGTCGTAAATTTGTTCTAGTATTGATCCATGTACATTATTATACACAATTACATAATTCATTGCATTTTGCTCTGTATAATATGTTTACACGGCATTGTAACATTTTATTGTGTGGAAATGGCAACATTGAAATAAATGTTTCTACTACTACATCTAGCTACATGTAGGTTGGGGACAAATTCTCTCCATCGGCAGCAGTGGCCACACATAAACTTCAGTGAGTGACAGAGGTTTCGCAAGCCTATTATTTTCCATCAATATCTAGAAAAATGCCAAATGTTCATTTTGAAGTTTAGCAAATTACATGTACTTGCATTCTTAACCCACTCACCTTTCTCAGCATGTTATACTTCACAGGGATTGGTTGGAGAGATTTGATCAAGCGAGCTTGAAGACCAAGTGCTCTCGTAGTTGTCAAACAAATCTAGATAAAAAAGGTACATTATAACTATAATTTCTGACACAACATGACCTCAGCACACAAACCAAGTCATGCTCAAACATGACTTGGTTTGTCTTACAATTCGATCCCTTGAGAAGACATCACAGAAACATCTGAATTTTCTGAACCGAGTCCAAACAAAAACTAAGTTGGTATTTTTGTTTGATATTTTATAAGGGTGTGGCATAATTGTTATAAAAAAAAGGGCACACGACCAAGAATGATTTTTACAGTTTTATTTAAGTTTGAAACTGGAGAGATGATTTTGCTGAGGCCAGTCATTTTATTTGTTAATAATTTAATTAAGAGATTTAATATTTATTATCCGTTGTTATTAATAGTGAACACATAGTATTTATCTCTCCTTCTATCCAGAGATAGCATAACCATGGCTCACAAAGTAATTTCGGTGAGGTGACTTAGAAAACAGTCTGAAACTCTGACCTCAGCTCAGTCTGTCATTTTGCCCTCAAAATTTACTCTCACAATTACAGAAACTTTGAAATTCTGAAAGTGTGGTTTCATTGTTTTTTATTCAACATTTACATACACGTAAAATGTCGGTGATTTTAATAAAAAGGGCTTTTCAATAAGTTTTTAAATTTAGGGTTAACTTTAATCTGCTGAAAGGAGGAGGGTAGTGAGACGGGAATAGATGGCATGCAGCTTGGCAGTATGGGTACTGGGTAGGGTGACAGTGTGACTGCACTGTGGTATTCACTCACTCCGCAAATATCCACAAGTACGTCTGAAACTGCAGTAGTATCAAATATATTTCTGTAATAAAGACGAAGAGTCATGCTGGGATTTTTTTTAAACTTTCGGCATGTATTAAATACAAATCAGGAATATTGCCTAAATCTGTCTAAATTTATCAGAATCTGGGCGCTCTTCAAAAATTACCATTATTATGCAGATTATTATGCACATTACATACCCATTTCCACGGCACATTCTAATGGTTTTTAGCGGGTTTACTTTGTTGGGATTGATGTCAGAACTCTCTAACCATTTATTGAAATAATTGCTAAACAAAAAATGTTGTGAAAAAATCCGCCGGGGGGGGGGGGGGCACTCTGCCACTGGCTTGTATTATATGCATCCGAAAAGGTATTTTTTTGGTAGATATACCAGTGTATTGTAAGATTTAATACAGTTTTCGAACTGTTGTCAAGAGTGGCTGTTAATCTTGACATTACAAATGCTTATACTTAAGTTAACATAAAAAGGAACACACAAAAAAGAATGACAAAAAAGCATTAACATCTTTGCTTACGTACAAGGGCCTTGTCGCTTTCTTTAGATACTGACATTTCCTCTATGCATTGATGAAGGACTTCATCTACTGATTTTGCTGGTTTTCTAGATGCAGTCTTGCCTACACAATACGATGCCCTGAACCTAAAATAAGAAAAGAGACGACATTTTCTAATTAAAATGCATACCATACGCTTGAGAATTAAAGGCTCTTTTTGTGCAAATTTGTTTGTCTTGGTTCTTCAAACCAGGCAAAAGGTTTTTGAAATCCAATTAATACATTGCTTAGATATTTGCAATGGTGTTGGTTTACCCTGCAAAGAATTCCAGTAAGAAGTAGTACATGTAGCATGAGGAAACACCATGCTCACTCTTCTGCTAACATGGTGTCAAGGCTGGCTAGTCTTCACTATTAGTCCAACAAGCAAATTGTTGGCAAATGACCCATTAAAAAGTGTTTTCTCTTTATAACCAGCTCTTGATTTTTAACAAAATCCACTCCTTCCAGGGCCCCCAGGGAGAACAGTTCATTGACAAATGATGGGGCTACTCTGGTAAAATAACACAAATTATATAAACTAAATAAAAACTTCACATCTTACAAGAGTCTCCTGTATGTTTAATTTGGGGGGGCAACTGCCCTGGCACTAGTCTTTATGAATTCGCTTTCTTGTTAGCACATATGTGACCCGCTCCGCAAAAATGAGTCTGTTGTGGCAAAACTGACATTTTGAGTTAACTACATAAATAAAATGGGAATGAAATAAGCTTTCATTTGGTATATCACGGACCTCTCTAGGACATTTGGTTGCATTGTTGTGCTTGTTTCATTCTGTCAAGTTTTTGCAAAGCTAGAAGTGTCTCAATGGAGAAAAAAGGCTTTGAAAAATGACAAATACACTGTAACTAACCAAGAAAAGCACCAAAGATTCATATTTTTTTTCTTTTTCTTACAATATTTACATTTCTGTGTAAGATATTGGAACTAAAACTATCAAACAACCAAAATAAAACAAAAACAAAAAATCGAAATTTTGAGCAAATTGTTTACTGTTTCCATTTCAAAATGCGAGAAAGCTTGAATTCAAATTATGCGACATCAGACTCATTTTTGCAGAGCGAGTCACATATGTACTTCGATGTAACAGCACTCCCTCGACTTAAACAACTTGTCTCTCCCATCAGTGGGTTGTCAGGATCGGTTGATTGCGCTTCCTCTAGGTAGGATCTTTTCAACAATAGATTCAATGAATCCATGATATAGAAGGCCAAGCAGGAAAGGCAAAGACATGCTAGATTTTTACCAGTGTTTACTGCAATGCCTTTAATTGTCTACGACAGGCAGGGTCCCCAAGCAGACACCCCGGTCCCTTACAGCCAATCTACATGTAGGTTCACCTCAACAGTCCCGAAATAATCCAGATTATCCATTCCACTTAGTGACATGGATAACAAACTATAAAATAACAGCGTTGCTGTTGAAACCCCTCAGCCAGAGTCAAGTTATCATCCGGAAACCATTAACCTTTAACTCAACGTGGTGACCTTTACCTTTGGCCTTTGACCCCAGAACCAGTCCCAACATGCCTGTACCAATGGGAAACCCCCTACCGAAGTTAGACACCAATATTTCATTTCTAACTCAAGTTATCATTCGGAACCATTTACATTGAACTCACCACGGTGACCTTGACCTTTGACCTTTTGACCCCAAAACCAATCCCAACTTGCCTGTACCCAAGGGCAAACCCCTACCTCAGTCAGACACCAAAATCTCATTTCTAACTCAAGTTATCATCCGGAAACCATTTACCTTTAACTCACCATGCTGACCTTGACCTTTGACCTTTTGACCCCAAAACCAATCCCAACTTGCCTTCTCCCAAGGGGAACCCTCTTCCAAAGTTAGACACCAAAATCGCATTTCTAACTCAAGTTATCATCCGGAAACCATTTACCTTTAACTCACAATGGTGACCTTGACCTTTGACCTTTTGACCCCAAAACCAATCCCAACTTGCCTACTCCCAAGGGCAACCCTCTACCAAAGTTAGACACCAAAATCTCATTTCTAACTCAAGTTATCATCCGGAAACCATTTACATTTAACTCACCACGGTGACCTTGACCTTTGACCTTCTGACCCCAAAACCAATCCCAACTTGCCTACTCCCAAGGGCAACCCCCTACCAAAGTTAGACACCAAAATCTCATTTCTAACTCAAGTTATCATATCCGGAAACCATTTACCTCACCATGCTGACCTTGACCTTTGACCTTTTGACCCCAAAACCAATCCCAACTTGCCTTCTCCCAAGGGGAACCCTCTTCCAAAGTTAGACACAAAAATCGCATTTCTAACTCAAGTTATCATCCGGAAACCATTTACCTTTAACTCACAATGGTGACCTTGACCTTTGACCTTTTGACCCCAAAACCAATCCCAACTTGCCTACTCCCAAGGGCAACCCTCTATCAAAGTTAGACACCAAAATCTCATTTCTAACTCAAGTTATCATCCTGAAACCATTTACATTTAACTCACCACGGTGACCTTGACCTTTGACCTTTTGACCTCAAAACCAACCCAACTTGCCTACTCCCAAGGGCAACCCCCTACCGAAGTTACAACCCCAAACAACATTTCTAACTCAAGTTATCATCCGGAAACTAAGCTGCCCGGACGGACGGACGGACGTTCTAGCCAGACGGACTTGTGGGGTGATAGCATTGTGTTCCCATTATCCCTTTTTCTAAAGATTCCCTTCTGGGGTGATGTTTTTCCATTGTGTAAAAAGTGGGGTGATGTGTTCTGAAAGGAACATCACCCCACAAGGGTGGTCTGGTCAGAACGGACACACACACATCCGGACGGACGGACGCCCTAGGCGATGACAATACCCCTCGAGCCTCTCGGCTGAGGGGTAAAAAGGGGCTTATAATGACAACAGCATCTTCATACCCTGCCTCGGTTAAGCAGGTGCATGGTTGTTTGTAGAAATTTCATCTGAGATGGTTCTCCATGACCTCATACAGATGGGACCTCCAGACACTTTCCTTATCTTACCTTCTGGAATTTACCAGCAAACCTCAAACAAATTACATCATCTCAGCAGGTACATCAAACCAAAACACTTCTGGTTGGAAACTCTGTCTACTGTCATCCAGGCTCTGAATGTTCGGCTGGTGGGCAACCTCCATCCATGCAGATCACCAGAAGTACCTTCATCAGTTTGTGTACCAGGTTACATTATTTCAGATTTGATGCCTACCCACTGGCCTCTCAACAGCCCCTCAGGTTTTCACTAGGAGCATCAAGCTTCTAGCAGCATTTTACATCACAGTCAGATAAACTCTCACATACCTGGATGATTGACTTATATTAAGCCCATAGAGCTATATTAAATTAGTAGAGTGCTAACTTCTCATTCTTGCGCGCAAAGACGCTTTGAAGCCGTCCTGGGAGCAGACATTTTGAATTCATGTGCGTGTTTGTAGAACATAATGAAATTAGATGGACTGAATTTTGAAAGTGTTTTCTACATGCAACATGCAAGTAGAACATACGCAAACAAGTTAAGCGTGTCATAACAGTTCAAAAAACGTCACAGCAGAAAGCATCTGCAGCAAATACGCACATGCGTTGCACTGTTTGCGTAGAGCAAAATGAAATGCTCATTTGCTGATCGTGCGTTTCGGTTTTGGGCGTATCGGCTTCAATGACGCACCGGTATGAAAACGCAGATATGCAAATAGACGTACAAAATACGTACAATATTTTCTAGTTCTCCATAGGTTTGTGTACAAACATGGATATGCCCATCAGGCATCTCTTTGTACATCGAGTTATAGCGCACTAGTAATTTAAAGCTATCGTCCATCATTTGCAGCTATCTGAAAAGTAACTGGCATAACGTTTGTTGAAAAACATACTTGGTTGAAAGATAGTAAGGGGCCACTAAACTCCCTGTGAAATTATTCTTTCTGGCAAGCTATCAGTGAAAATTGGTGGAAAACAAATGGGCCGGTTGAGTGTGCAGAGAAGTCCTGGGAAGCTGCCAGACCAGGTTGCTTGAGCTGGATACTGAGCAGGTGTTCAGTGAAGCCGTCAGCCAGACAGTTTGAGAGTTTACTACATTTGGCCCACATTAAACAGTAAATCAAGTTGGATGTGGTACACTTGAAGTTATCCCAGATGTTGAAGTTACCATAGGGGATGGTGACTACTGTACAGTTATTGATGTATCGGTAAGTGTGACAACTGAGCCAATGGCAGGGGGTAGTAGTGTGGAGGCTACGCCTGGAGCTCTGGAGTCTTGAACAGTGACTATATGCTTTCATTGATGGATTTGTCCATTCTGAAGGCGCACAATGGAGTTGAAGACTCACCAAAGATTTCATGGGTACCAGGGTCTTCTTGAAGCACCTTGAAATGTCTCAGGATAACGTTGCGAACTGGCAAATTAAGTGGATGGTACACGAGGACAAGCGGGATGTGGTCCTTAATGCTGGGTTGGGTGTGGGACATAGCAGTCTTGTTGCTGAGAGCAAACACTTGTCTGAATGGAGAACTGGTGACGGTGCATGGGTAGCCACAGCGAAGAAAGAATTCTTCCATCACATGGCCGTGATGTCAAAATTCTTCATCATTACTGCAGAGACATCAAAAACGGAGGAACAAGCTGTATGGAATTGAGTTCTTGCCTTGGGTGGGAAGATTTGTAGTGGAGGCAACTGTGGGACTCCATAGATAGATATAGATGGATAGATATAGATGGATAGATATAGATAAAAGATATATATATATAGATGGATAGATATAGATGGATAGATATAGATATAGATGAATAGATATAGATGGATAGATATAGATGGATAGATATAGATATAGATGAATAGATATAGATGGATAGATATAGATGGATAGTATACAAATATGGAATGCTTCGAGTGGTGTAGTGAAACTAGCCTCCTGAGGTGATCCATGGACCATTCTATTTTCCCGAGGCGAAGCCGAGGGAAAATAGAATGGTCCATGGATCACCGAGGGAGGCTAGTTTGACTTCACCACGAGATAAAGCATTCAATATTTGTTTTATAACACTTCTCCCACAGATTCTGCTTGATTTTAGTATTTTACATTATTTAAATCTGAACACAGTTGAAATAAACTTCAATTTCAATACAAAATGACTAAAATAATGACTCAACAGCAGATTAATTCACAAAGCAGGATGCACCAACAAAAATAGGAGCTAGAAGTTTGTGTTTGTTGAGTTAGTTACAAATGCAGAGTGGTCAGGCAGATAACAATTTTATTACACACTGCCCTGTTAACTAAAGAATATTTTTGTGTCAGAACTAAGAATCACCAAGTTAACCTTTCCAGTACAACCAAATTATTATTTTATTTAAAAACAAATGCATATGTTGAGGTATGATAAATTTCAGTATATATTTTATGTACACATGCAAATTATCTCTGGTTTGATGACATCATCAGTCCAGAAAGGGGAATTGAATACTAAGTTAGTTCAGAGAGGATACATGTTCATTATGAAGTTAAAATAACAAACCCTAAAAAGTAAAAGGTAAAGTGTTCGCAGGAACACAGGTTCATCCCCTATACCTTTTACCTAGGGTTTGTGATCAAACCCTAGTAGGTAGAACTCATAGGTCTGGGTAGGCATGCTGCCTAGGAGAGGGAAAACTCCGATCATGAACCCAGGTTGGTCAAGCTCATTCAGCCGCTACCTTGTGGATAGCCCTAGGAATGGTAAAGGTTAAGGGAGTAAACACCTACAGAAAAATCAGGAGTGGAGCCCCTAAGGTGGTTGGTGGTGATACAAACCATTCCCCCATAGACAGTGGTATTAAATCATGATTAAGTCCAAAGTGGCCTGGGTCCAAGTTGGTCTAGTTCTGACTTCCCCAATTCAATTTGAAACTATGGATGGCAGCATTGTACCGGTACTTACCATTTTATGAATACTGAAAACCAACTAAGATCGAAGGTACAAGAACCAGCAGATGAAGCACCAAGCACAAGGTGGATTGGTACTTGTGAGAGTGCCCTTGCCTGCAACTCTGCATCGTTACATGTCTTATTGTTGTGTAAAGCACTGGCAATGAGACAAATAAGGTGAACCTGTAAAAGGAAATACCAACACAAATTAATTGAAGGCTCATTCTCGTGGGTTCCTTCCAGGTGCCACTTATACTTTTTAGATAGCGCCATAGCATCATCAAGCAACCCCAGTGTAATTTAAGTGGAAAAGCTGCTGCTGTGGTAGTCCCAGGAACCTGAGCCACAAGTTGATGAATGCCTGGGGTATTTGGTCTGGTTAGCCATGGGGATGGTTTTACAACCTGTTATACAATACCCTGGGTAAAACAAGCAAGAGAACAGCCACTTGGTTTATGAGCACATGTACACATGTACATAGGGCCGGCTTATGCCTGGTGATTTTCTGCTGGTTGTACCAACAACTTTAAAGACAAAACTGGTAGGATTGGTTTAAAGAAGGACAGAAGTATTAGAAATTGTTGGATTACAAGAAAAAGATTCAGTTTCTTCTGATAAATAGATACATGTGTATGCCTGTGAGTGAGGTTTTTTTTATAACACACAGCTTTACCATGTTTACCCTTTCTCCTGTCATTTGCACATGGTTACTTTTGACTGCTGTCAAAAAGAAGTGAAAAAGTTGGATTGCATGCGAATTTCATGCAATGTAGGATTGTGCTGTACCATGCCGTGCTGCCCGGCACCCGCATGTCTTGCTCGAGCAGTTTATTCCAATTATTTCAATTTTGATAAGCTGTGTAATTGTTTACCCACTTACAGAATGCTTTCACTTAAATTGTCACTTTACTGTAGACCAGGCCTCAACCTTAAGCTTTTTTTTCAACTAGCCCACCAGGCAAGTTAACCAAGTGTTTAACTAGCCCGCAGGATTTTATTAATAGCTCACAGGATTAAATTGATTTAGACTGTAACAAACATGGCTCATTTAATTCAACTGTCACATTGTAACAAGTCTCATTGAATAAACAATTGACCAACTAGGAAAGGCAATAATAATAAACACAAGTTTTCCATTAGAAATCACTGTCACCGGTTGTAGAGTGTGAATATACATGTATTTTCAGATGGCTCAGCATCATCATGTGTGTCGTCATAACCATCTTATGTGTCATCGTAATCATCAAGCTCAAGATCTGAAATGGATGTTACTGATGAGCTGTCATTTCTGTCTAACGAAATCTTCTTTCCCTTGACTGTTTTGCCCTTTTATGCCCTTAATTGCACATAAAAATCTGTCCATAGCTCTGAATAAACCATCTGCAGATCAGTGACAAGACAAATTGTAACGTTAAAATTAAACACACATTGTATGCGATCTGGCGAACGACGGAACATATACGTTGGTGATTGCAATATATATTTCCAAATGATATAACATTTAAGAACGCTAAACTAAATCCGCTGCGAGGATTATACGACAGTAGTTTAACTTTTAAGCAACAGCTCTCATTGGTTTTGTACATGTTTTCCAACCGAGGAGTCCTCGATTCGGTTTCTGTTCTTGATTCATTGATGATGTTGCACGTGATCACAGATTACAGCTGTGCAAACACCGGCAATCGTGGACCATCCATTGTTCCTCATAATCCTCATTCCTTTGAACTTAGCAAAAGCTCTCATTGGATTTGTACACGATTTTCAATTATTGTCCAAAGCTGTGTTTATTTGAATAATAAGACCTTGGCAAAATCAGTAGTATTGGATATGCCAATTAAGTAGCGGTATGGAAATTTATTCCCTTGTATATACCTTTCCTTGACTTTGAGATTTGACATCTTATTGAATGTACGCAATGGTGCAATCAACATACAACATTAAGAAGCATATGTAGAGCATACACTGTGTTTGATCTTGGCGAGCTAGTTACAATAGAAATATCTGACAATGTTAGATCAAACACAATTTTATTTTGAGAAAGTTATTCCCCATAACCCTTTTCTTGATATTAGGATTTTGATGCCTTATGGAATGCATCACAGAGGATATTTGTTTTGTAAATGATAGTATTGCATATACAGTATATCATTAGGTTTTTCTATTTTTTTTTCTTTTGCTGCAAGGCAAGTGGGCCATGCTAATTTACAAGGGCAGTTGGCTTGAAGAGCCTGTGAGGCTTTTGCATTGTCAGACATGGCTAATTACTAATAACATTTTGTTTTGGAGCTTACAGGCCGAGATGGCCTAGAGATTGACAAGTAGTTTATTTTGTTCTGTTGTTCCCAGGCAAGAAACCTGAAGGGCCAAGGGGTCCAAGTGAAAGCAGACAGGCAGTTGCCATGTTGAGCCATGTTAAACAGACCAAGCACAAGGACCAGTAGAGGACAGAGCAGGGCGCTACAGCTGATACCCACAAACTGCATTAATTATTGGCGAGTACAGGACAATGGATTATATAAATATAAGATAATGGCAGATCCCTTAATTTAATGTAACATAAGTTTCCATAAAATTGCCGCCAAACATGTAAGCCAAAAAAAGGTAAACTGACACAGATATCTTCCCTCAAATCCAAACACTCCTGAATGTCATTTACATTATAAATCATGTCACCCATGGAAGAACAAGGAGGAAAACAGAAGGTCTCTGGGAGTTTGTTGAAGTACAGAAATTGTGTACTTATACCTTGTGAAGATGAAGCTGAAGAGCTCTGTTGAAGCGGTTAACATGGAACTGAATTTGCTTTGACCAGTCACAGTTTTCTGTAGACCTGAATAACAAAAACAATAAATAAATTTATCATTTTTTTGAATGCATGGGTTTAAATCAGAATTCATAGTTAGTAGCAACAAGCACGTGCTGTTGGGCACTTGGGCTGTCATGTTCGGTTTGATGGCAAGAAATTAAAGGAAAAAAAGGTTTCATAGGCACATGTTTTTTTCAGGACCATTGCAGTATTGTGACCCATCCACAACATTCAGTATAGTACCCTGTCTACAAAAGATTACGGTAGAAATTGAATACCACTGTACACATACAGACAGACAGGGCAAAAAAAGAATGCCCCTTCCGCTTCACTGATGGTGTATACATGTACACAATGAAATTAATTTGTTCAGCTCAACACAAAACTCATCATGAGACGATTATTGCAAAACTAGGACAAATCAGAATGCCACATTTGTGAATTACATTACACCAACAAAATTGAATCTACATTGTATTGGTGCAAATCTAATCGAAATTGCAATTAGCAATGGAACGAACTTAAAATAACTTTCTATGGAAATTGATTGATAAAGTGGTCAAGTATCTGGGGAAACCTATAACATACATTATTTGCAACACCAACTGAAGAGTAGTACATTTTTTAGCACTGCTTATACATTACTTTTGAGGGAAAAAACCCATCGGAATAATAGTTTTCAAAACAAATATTCTTGGAATTGAAAATAATAGGCAACTCACGAGACATGAGTCAATTAGCTTCAAGTCTTTTGCCTATATGACTCCAGTCACAGAGACAGAGACGGATCCACTACTGACGGAGAATTGTTTTCCTCACCGAGTAACCGGCCAAAGTAGCCGGTCAATTTTGGCCGGTAGTGATGGCGTATTTTGAAACCCCTGTAATGGCATTAAACTGTATGAATTTATACTTTTCTGAGTTTCTCCAAACCTTTCCCTGAAGAGATTACCCATGTCCAGGACGCCATCATTCCAAGAGGGGAGAATGTCGGGACCCATTATTTGGGCCCTCCTATTTGTAATTGAATATGCGTGAAGAGCCAGTCTATTTTATTGATGTCAAAGACAAGATAAGTTTTGCGGTAACACCATAAGAATAAATCTCTTTTGTGAGTATGTGTGGTTCTGAAAAGAACCGGAGGGACTCAACGTATCGAACAGTATGCTCTGCCCGTCGTCAGGACGACCAGCAGAGCTACCACAAAACGTTTGTTGTCTGAGTATCTTTCCACCATGCAAACCTTCAAATCTCATTTCATTGATGTCATCGCGCGCTTCTAAGTCCATGTCTGTTCACTGCGTATTTTTAAATATTTTTTCTATGTTTTATTAGACGGTTTTTATTTGAACGCCTCAAGAGTGAATTTAGATGTGTTTGTGAAGGTGATGACAAGTACTGTTTCTTGCTGCTGGAATATTTATTTATATCAGTCACCACCTTTGAGTGTTTTCACATCTCCCGTTTCAGGTAGGCCTTTATATTGCTTAAAAGTTTATATTTTGATGAACTGTATGTCTATTTATAATTTCGATGATTTGTTTGAAAATTGCATGACTAAAGTTAACCCTAAAGGGGCCGGGTTATTTTGACCATCTCTCAGCCGGGGGGGGGGGGGGGGGGGGGGGGGCGGATTCTGCCCCCCCCTAAGATCTCGGCCATCGAGTGACGAAAAATTTTGAAACTCAGCACATGCATAGAGCAACTCTTCCTAAACATGCCCACGAAATTTCATGACTAAAGGTCTAAGGGTTTTGGAATTATGGCTAATTAATTATTCATATGTATGAATGGCAATTCTGCTCGGTGTACACGACGTATATGCGAAAATTCAGTTTTCACGGCGCGTAGCGCCGGAAAATTTTTTGCTACGTGCCAACCCGTGGTCTGATTTTTATGTTTTTGGTATTAAAAGATGCGCAAAGCTCGAGGCTAAAAAGTCATAACAGCTCAGGTCGCGAAAAAAATTTTTTTAGAAGCTATCGCGGAAAATGTTGAGGGGGGGGCGGATTCCGCCCCCCCCCCCGGCCCCTTTAGGGTTAAAGCTTGTACATACAATTCCCAATACCTTGATCAATTTATTAGTAATGCTCTTTCTGACATGTGATGTAGAACGCGAGCGCAAGTGATAACTGTAAATTATACGCATCTCTTGACAACTATATGTATGAAAAATATGTCTTGTTGCAAATCATCTTGATATACTGTTTTGATAATAGTTTTTTTAATGTTAGTTATGACCCATAGAGCGAAATTAGATGTGATGGTGATGACAAGTAAAGTTTCTTGCTGCTGGGATATAAGAAAAGATATAACAAGAACTTGGGCACCTTCTTCAAGTGCATTCTCTCGCATTGCATCTGTCGTACTGCATACTGCATATGTTTTCTTGTAGCTAGCAGCAGTCTTGTCCATGACAGTGGTGGCAACTTCATGGGTTCTACGCAGTCTTTCTTTTAGATCCGCTGCATATTGTTGATGAGATGTATTCCCTGTTGGTGAAGGTAACCAAAACAGAATGTTGATGGGAAGGTGGGGCTGACGTCCAAACATCAAGTACATGTAGTTCCTGTCGACGAATGCTTTGTGAAATTGCACATATGCACAAGGGGGCCTACATGTAGTCACCATTTTTTCCTTCTGTCAGTGTGCCTAGCATCATCAGTAAGGTTTGGTTGAAACGGCTACACTGACCGTTTTCCTTGGAAATGATAAGATGTGGTGCGACTCTTCTTTATACCACAGCTATTATAAAATTCTCCGATGGCCTTCGCTTCAAAATTGCGACCTTGATCGGAATGTACCTGTAGACGTTCAGGGAACCTGTAATACACCAAGTACAGGGGTATTATAAACATATAAACCTTGGCAACAGTACCAGATGTCCGATCCTTGGTCAGGAATGCCTGAGCATATCAGGTATAATGAACTGTCACCACAAGAAAGTTCTTTGTGTTACTATCGTCGGGCTCTAGGCTCAGGAAGTCAATGCATCTTAATTCTACTGGAGAAGTGGTCTTGACGGAAACTAGCGGTGCAGCCTTCACAACTTGCTTCTTTCGTCTTACACACCTCTCGCACATCTGGCATTTTGTTTCAACATCATCTGCCATGCGTGGCCAGTAAAAACTGCAACGAGCCATGTCCAACGTCCTCTCCACCCCAAGATGGCCATCAATGTCAAGTAAGCCTTGTGGAGCTTGTCGTCGGTGACTCTTTGGCAAAACCAATTGTAGCAGTTGCCTTCCATCGTGATCATTACTCTTCCTGTAAAGAATACTGTCTCTGAGGAAAAATCTTTTAAGTTGTCACAGAAGACTTTTTGTCTCCTCCTGTAATGATGCTCGGTCTTCAGTTGATGGTTTCTGATCGTTTTGGTTGAACTTGATGACTTGCCGTATATCATCATCTTCATGCTGAAGTCCTTGCCAGTCAGCAGGCTCCATAGCCGGCAAAGTTGTTGGTCCTGTCTCTGCAATGAATTATGTCGGAACAGCTCACGTTGAATCAGTCAAACTTTTGACGAGAGGTTGATTCTCGCCTGGTTGACTATTAACCAAATCATCCGTTCCAGATTCAACATCACGGCTTTGGTACACTGCACGAATGACATCTGTTGTTTTCATCTCTGTTCATTGGAATCATTCTTTCTTGAAGCCGGCAGATCTTTTCTTCAACGCGGTTTGACTCTTTGTCTTTGGATGGAGGTTGCTGATGGGGTCGTCGGGACAATCCATCTTTATGTACATCTGCATTTTTGTCACCGCGATGATACTTAATCACAAAGTCGTAGTCAGCTAGAGCAGTTAACCACCTGTGACCAAACCAGTAGCATCTAACTTGGCAGATGTCAACACATATGTGAGCGGATTGTTGTCAATCAACAAGGTGAACTTAGTTCCATATAAGTAGTAACAAAAGTTCTCAGTGATTGCCCATTTGAGTGCCAGAAATTCCCATTTGTGAGCTGGGTAGTTCAAATTACTCTTAAGAGAGTCCTCGGCTTGCATAAACAACCACTCTGAATTGGCCTCCATCATCTTTCTGATATAGGGCTGCTCCCCTACCCAGATCCACTGGCGTCCGTGTGTATCACAAAGGGTTTCTTGTTGCTGAACAGCTCGTTGGATTTTCTAAGTTTAGCTTGGTTGGTCTTCTTACCAATTGACTTGCTAAACCTCTTCTTAGAGAAGTCACAACCAACCAGTAAGCTCAATCAATGACTTGGCAATGGAAGAAAATCCTTCAACAAACCTGCAATAGTAGCCTGCAAAGCCAAGGGATGATTTAAGCTCCTTCATTGATTGGAACCGGCCAAGTCTTGACTGCATTTATCTTGTCAGGATCAGTGCTCACACCATCACTTGAAACGTGTCCAAGGCACTTCACTGTTGATTGGAAGAACTTGCACTTCCTTGGCCCAAGTTTCAAGCCAAACCTACGGAGCTTCTCAAGAACTTCTATAAGTCTTTCTCCGTGTTCTTCTGCAGTCTTGCCAAAACGATGATGTCATCAAGACAAACAAAGACTTCTTCCAATTGAGATCACCCATACACTTCTCCGTCAGGCGTTGGAAAGTAGCTGGAGCATTTGTTACACCTTGGAGCATGCGGTTGAACTCATAGAAGCCAAGAAGACACCGGAACGCCGTCTTGTGTTTGTCTTCATCAGCAACTTCAATCTGGTAGTAGACTTCAAATCCAACCAGGAAAACCACTGTGCTCCACTCATGGCATGAAGTATGTCCTCAATATTAGGGATAAAATATTAGGGATATAATACTGGTCACATATTGTATGGCTGTTTCCTGTAGTCGATACACATACGAGTACCACCATTCTTCTTGCGGACAAGAATGTTGGGTGTCATCTAACAAGATGGCCCCGATACATGGCGACACGGTTTTGCGAGCTCTTACTTTTTTACTTGTTGTGTGTTTTTTAGTCACGGAATCGTCAGGAGTACTAACGTACACTAGAGATGAATTACTTGTGCTTCAACCTAGTGTTAGTAAGGTGAGCAAT